TCTGGAGAAAACTGCATCAATAGTCGTGCCATATCTTGTGGTTGATTCAAATGGAGAATTATTCATTGTTAAATTAAATTTATTATTTAAAAAATCAATTAATGGTTGAGATTCTTCTGAACGAAAATTGACATTGAAATCTCCAGCAAGAATTAATGGTATCTCGTTGTGATTAGTGTTTAAAAGTTTTGCACCCTCATTAGAAAAATGAAGTAACTGCCGATGAAGAAATTTAATAATATTTGATACGTTTTTATTGGGAGAAATGTAAAGGACGACTATAATTAATGTTTGATTCTGTGTGTGTAATATCACCTACTTATTAGAAATATCCAGTAATATCGTTGGCGCAAGAAACTGCATAGGAGTCGCATTATGAAGAGTATCTGAACATGAATAATAGACATTAGACAGCTACACCACCTGCTCTGGAGTCCGATCGTTTGTATTGAGTAACGCAGTAATAGTTCTGAATATTAATTCGTTCTTCATTATTAATCCAATTTTCCGAAAATAACAAAAACGTACAACGTTGTAGCACTTTATCTTGCAGATCAGGCAAATGAGCTCGTAAACTTTGGCAGTTAAAGGAAAACAATGAAATGTCGTTCAAACTTATTATCTCACTCAATTTTTCTTCTTGTGTTATTAATCTACAAGTTGAAAGTCTTTGGAATTCAGTTTTTAAGTTCATTAATCCTGCTGGCCGTTTTCTTCCATGATAAAATTTTTTGAAATGATGAACAATCCATTAATGCTGGTAACTCGTGATAATGCAACATATAGAAGCTGCTGATTATATGTTTTATTGTATTCATATACAATTTTATCAAAAGTACCACCTTGTGATTTGTGTATTGTGAGTGCACAAGCAGACACTAAAGGAAATGATTTCTTTTGACAAATATGATTTTATTTCTATTCATTGGAATAGATGAAGATCTCCTGAGAATCGGCACAGCTGTCCTACTAATATTAGGAGTTTGAATATGATGTGCAGCTTTCTTCTTATTTTGTTACCTATCTTACCAGGAAATTCAAACCATAAACGTAGAAGTTCATCATTATCGCCACGTTCTATGTACACTAATTTTCCTACACAACCATTAGCTAAGCCATCACTTACATCAATATTAGTTGTTATTATGTAAAATTTATTCAGAACTAAAATTATTTCATACGGCAAACCCCCGGTATCAATAACCGATTTTTGTGAAACTGCTGACGAATGTATGATTGTTGATCTGTCGCATGGCAACCTACATAAATATCCGTGGCAGTAGATATTATTTTGTCTTCAACGAGATTCAGTATAAATTTATTATATTCCATGACACATTTATTCTCTAAGAAAAGTCTTATTCCATGAGGACATAACATAAAAAACATGATTCAATTATGCAAGTTCATATAGGGTTTAGCGCTCGACTTACGCATGACATGACGAAAGTGGATACTCGCGACATCAGCGCTTACGGCGTCGTAGTGTTCAACTTCACGTTGGCGTTTTCGTTGCATTTGTACGGATTTACACCCGTGTAGCCTAAAGAAATTTTTACACCCATATCGCGCCTAAAGAAGTTTTACTTCAATAAAATAAAAATTGGTCCAAAAAGTAAAGAAAAAAGCTTAAGGACAGCTATTAATACTTTGAGGTATGGAAAAAAGATGTGGATCTATTATCAGTCATAGTGAACTTGATTAAAAAAAAATCATAAATATCGGTCAAGCCGTTTTGGAGGGTATTATCATTAACATCATGACACGAGAATATATATAGTGCATAGATAAAAAATGATTTGACTACTAAAATGAATATTATGAAATAGGGATTTGTGGTAAGTTGGACAAAATTTAGAGTTCTGCAATAAAATATTAAAACTAGTGGTGTATGGCATCGTGCCTTAAAGCAAATTGCTGGAACTTCCCGCATCGTAATTAAAAATCTTGGTACGGAACCCAAAAAATACACAAAATGTGTACACATTATTAAAATCTCTTTAAAATATCTGATCATTTGATGTACATATGTCCAATAAACATTTTTGAGCGCCAAATGGCTGGACCTGCCTTCCCAAAAATGTAATCAGTTCTCCAACTTGTCAATACAAATTAAATGTTTTTTGACTTATTAAAATCGGAAGCTCCGTTATCTTAAAAACTGAGTTACCGTTTTTGGCACATTTTGTCCCGTATGTTCGGAACGGCTAGTCCTGCCTTCGCAAAAAACTAATCAGCACGTCTTCTTATCAATACGAATAGAATGTTTTTTGAATTATTGAATTCGGTTGATCGGTGTTACCGAAATCGTCGACGAAAATTTATATCCGTACACACACACATACATTCATTTTTTCTAAGGTATACCAAAATGTACAGAAACTTTTGAAACGTAATGATATATAAAAATTTTCATTTTCGATTTTTTGCGATTACTATAACTTACACTACGGGAAGTTAATAAAATAAAATAATAAAAAATACAAAATAAATTAAAAAAAAGTGTTAGGGTCAAATAATGCTAGCATAGTGGTATATATACTTGTATATATATATATATATATATATAATTTTAACATTTGATATTATAATTTAACTAATTTCAAGTCATTAAAATAGTCGCTTTAAAATCTGAAAAACTTTTATAGACAATTATTAAACACTAATTTTATCGATTGTACGAAACATAAATTAAACATACAAAATCATCCTTAACTAAATGATGAATTATTGTATGTATCTTATTAATAATGTCATTCACAAGACGATTTGACTTTCAAATTCTCGAGCGTCATAATTTCATAAAACAATAAAAAACAAATCTTACCTGATGTACCGGGGACATTAGAGCCGATGTATCTGCTTGCGAAAGCATCATTTTATAGCGTTGTATTTAGTCAAATTTCCGTAAAATATCTGTTCCAGACAATATTTCTATTAACACATTTTTGACATGCAACACCTGAACTTTCTTATAACACTTATTTTCATTAAACAGTGGCAATAAACAAACAAAGACGCTCGCTGAATTTGGTTTAATTCATGAGCTTATTTGCTCCTGAAACGCTTACATTGCAAAGCATAACGGAAACACTATTTTGAATACAATTGTTGTAATTAATACATATAAAATATTACTGATAACGATAAGAAATCAAAACAAACTCTTCACAAAATGCAGCCGCAACACAACTCGTACACAACCCACGAATGAGTGTTGTCAGAACTGTCAGATTTGGAAAGAGGTTGCACGTGGAGGGGGGATGAGCAAAGTGTGTTAAAATTTGTTACAAAAAGTCACATAAAATAATTGTTAAATAATTGGAACTAAATAATAATTGTATTGAATTAAGTTTTATAATGTACTCATTATTCAAATTTATGTATTAATGTCGAAAAGTAGAATATTATACGCTTGGGAGAAAGCATAACTGTCACCTCTGGCAACACTCATTCATATTAGTGGGAGCGCCGGGCATAGATAAACAAGTATGAATTGCGTCCATGGCAATGTGGAATGTAATATATCATGATGAGGGTTTACAATTGATTTTTTTAGATTCAAATAAAGTGGAACTAGTTGTAAGTAGCATTTTGCCTTAAAGCAAGTTGCACAAGCTATTTAATACGTTTACTTAATTAAGTATAAAGGTGCGCCTCACATAACGATCGAGCACGAACGATTATAACGACTTTTGGACGTTATGATGTTCAAAATTTCTTTGAAAAAAAAAATTGAAAAAAAAAAAGATTTTTTTACTAAAATCAATTATTTTGTTAAAACAAGCAGAAAGTTCTTTGAACCATTTAAATCGGACGCTTAGTTCTCTCAAAAACTGCCATTTTTCGCACATGTAGCCTTGTATCTTCGAAATGGCTGGGCCTGTCTTTGCCTAATAACCACTTCTACCAATCATTACTAATTGAATGTTTTTTAGATCATTCAATTCGGATGCTCCGTTCTCTCAAAAGATCGATTTCTATTTTCTGCACTCTTTGCTCTTTATCTCCGTAACTGCTGGACCTGCCTTTGCCAAAAACTAATCAGCACAACTCCCTATCAATAAGAATTGGTTGAATGAATTGAATCAATTAAATCGGTTGGTCCGTGCGCCCGAAAACGTGAACAATAAAATGCGGACACACAAAACACACACACACATACACAAACACATAAATTTTTTCTGAGGTATGCCAAAATGTTCAGAAACGTTCAAAACGTCGAGAAATGCAAAAATTTTCAATTTCGATTTTTGGACGATTACAATAACTTACCCTACTGGAAGTTAATTATGGGCTAAAATGTGGACGATACATTTTATTCTTTTCTGCTAATTACAAAGAAACGCGTGGGTCAACAGTCACGCAAACATATATAGTATGTATTATTATGCATTAATTTAAGTTATGTACCATTAATATGAATAATTGTATAATTGTGTTGTGTAAATATAAATATAAATATAAATATAAGTCCTTATTCAGTTACATCGAATGTCTTTTAAATTTTAAAATTTTCAAAATTGGTTCAGCCGTTGTTGACAAAACGTCGACAAAAGCCAAAAATCGGCTTAATACGCACACACACAAATTTGGTCTTATTCGATTCAGAATGACTCAAAACGTCCACGTAAAATTAACAAATCGAATTTTTGCTAGAATATAAACTCCTTCGGGAAGTTATTGAAAGTAAAAAATAATTGTTTGTGTAGAATTTGATATTCATCATTCCGAATTTTCACTTTTGATAATTTAATTATAACTGTAAAATTTAATTTTATGTCATTAAAAAAAAGTAATTTTAAATAACACTAACTTCAACGTTTCTATTAATAATTATATACTTTGTTAATAATATACAATAATATTACTTTAAATTGTCAGCAAATTATTATATCAAAAAGTTTTAATTAAATTTATTTTATCTCACCCTACCGTTTGAGTAAATTTAATACTAGATCCTCCATTATTCATATTCATTTTGTAGCAGCTGGCAACACTATCGATTTGACATTTGTCGATCAACAATCTGTAAAAATACTTCCTGGTATCTTTTTATAATTTATATTTACAATATTAATTTAATTGAAACTGTGCTCAAGAAACAATATCACTAAAGTTCAATATTTTATTTAATAAAAATGACGACCGCAGCAAGACCTACATTTGATCCAGCTAGAGGAGGATCAGGCCGTGGAGAAAAAGATTTGAGCGCAATATCGCGTCAATATTCCAGCAGAGATTTACCAGGACATACAAAATTAAAATACAGGTATGTAATATGTAAAACCACAAATATGTGATAGTAGCAATAATAAAATGCATTGAAAGTTATATTGCTATAATTAAATGATGTTGTAGGGAACAAGGACAAGGTACCATCGAAGAACTTCGTGGACGTGATTTTCGTAAAGAATTAGAAGAGAGAGAAAAAGAACAGAATCCAAATAAGGCACGAGCTCGAGCAATTGATGAAGGAAGGAAAAGGCAAAAAGTAGATCAAGTAAGACCAAGTAATTTAGTTACGGTTTCTAAGAAATATAAAATTTGTTAAATGAACTTCTATTTAGGCATCTCGATTGAGATAAGCTTAACAAAATTAATATTTATTAGCATTTCTTTACTTACATATAGTTCAGTGCAGAAATTCTTGATATATTATTCGTGTATTGGTAGTTATTTCTATTGTTAGATAACTCGAAAGTTAGTAATCAATTTAACATATTTTTATACTTATTATTTGCATTACATTTTAATAATAAATATAACTAGCAGTCGTTATGTATACAATAAGTTTTATGACAATAATGAAGTGTTTTCAAAATACTATTTATTTTTATGTAGGTACCAGTAACAAGCTTAGATGCCGATGATCCCGTTGATGCAGATTCTTCAGATTCTGATAGTGATAGCGAAGATGATACTGCTGCTTTATTAGCAGAATTAAATAGAATTAAGAAAGAAAGATCACAAGAGCAAGCAAAAAAAGAAATGGAAAGACGACAAGAAGAAGAAAGAATTAGAATGGAAAATATCCTTAGCGGAAATCCTCTGTTGAATTATTCCAGTAACGCTCCAAAAGAAGTTCTTAAGGTGAAATATTAGCCAATATTCTCATATAATGTTATATATAGTTGAGTCCATTTTTATGGATTTAGAATGGTGATTTTATACATCTGTTTCATATTAAAGATATAATGTTAATATTATATATGTTTTGCATTCACTTTTTGTTCTAAATGTATATAGTTATTTATGTTTAAGTTGTAGTAACAATATTTGAATAATAATTTTTTTTATTATAGGTTAAAAGGAGATGGGATGACGATGTGGTTTTCAAAAACTGTGCTCGATCTGAACCAGAAAAGAAAAGTAGTTTCATAAACGATTCGCTAAGATCAGAATTTCATAGAAAATTTATGGAAAAATATGTTAAGTAAATTTAATTTATGTTTATAGTTTTAACTGAATCTGTATAAATTTAATCAAATGAATTTAAAGTTTCCCTCAAATGAAAACAAATTTTGTATGTATTGAATATGTGACCTGAATAAACACAAATAAAAAGAACTGTTAATAGTTTTAATAATTATTGTAGATCAACATGTTATATTACTTTGCATAGTTTGATATCGGTTACTAAATACCAGTATGTTTCTTCACAAATTCTCTTATTTCTGGATCAGCTAGTCTTGTAAATACATTTGGATATGGAAAACTTGTGCAATTTCTAGTTGAAAAAGCTGTCAAGCCTACTAAAACCCCATTTTCGTCAACGACGGGTCCACCAAAATCACCTGTACAAACTGATTTTCCTTTATCTTCTATTGATCCAGCACAAAACATTCTGAAATTATAATTTGATTACGATTTAAAAAAAAAATGATGGCTGGGTGCACTAATAATGTGATAACTTATTCTGAAACTAAATGAGAAATTATATTACTTACTTGTCTGTGACATCAATCAACTCTTGATTTTTTTCAAGACATTCTTGATTATCAATGACGTGCAAAGATATTGCTCTAAGATTTTCTGACATAGGTGCTCCTGGTATCTGCATTAAAAAATTATATTATGTTATTATAGTTATTAGTAACTTGATATGTTCTCATAGAATTGTAATTTTTAATTACAAATTAATCACAAATGTACCGTGTTTTTGATTCATTACGTCAGCTGAAACAAAAATTCATTTAAATCTTAGGTAGAGCTGCCCAATTATATTAATGCTAGACTTTGTTATCAAAATATTTTTTAAGCAAGAAAATAAATTATTATTATTAGTATATTATGTTTTAAACTATGCATAGGAGCATGCTACAGTGATTCTGTACCGTTTCAGATCCCCATCCAGTAGCTGTGACAAAGGAGCCTACAGGCAAGTCGACATTTGCCTCTACGAGCTTGGCAGGTCGGCTTCTTCTAGTTTCATTGAAATCCTTTGTTATCATAATTAAACCTACATTGTAATTTTGATCGCGGCTATCATAACGAGGATGAGGGACGAGCCATTCCACACCGTAATGAGTACCACCACTATTATATTTGCTGGTTCCAGCACGTACTCTAGCTGCATGGATAGACGTTCTAAAAAAATACTTTATTATTGTATTATCTTTTTTTATTTGCGTGGTGATTCAAAACATTTGATTCTCATTGACGCAAGACGTGCTGATTAGTTAGATTGAAAGCGGTGCTCCCTAAAACGTGGACGAAAAGTTGTATCCACATACTACACACCCACGTACACACATACACACTCATTTGTGCCTGTGATTTAGTCCTCTACGGGACGATGCAGAAGAGATATTAAGCCGAAAAACTACTCCTGATACCGATGTAGAAGTGATGCTGACACATTTGCGAGAGAAGTGCTAATTGATCTGCGATCTATGGAACGAGAAAGAGCGAATGGGACTTTGCTCATTTGAGATAAGTACAATTTCAGAGCGAAAATGATAAAATTCTAGATTCTCCCCCCATGAAGTAATACACTAGCAGTGGTTTCCGTGGGAACCAGTGGCAAGGGCAAACCGAAGGTTTTAGTCGGTATTATACCTAGTGTTAGAACGAAATATCGAGTACTGAGTAAATATCGATACTTCGCGGTCGATAGTGAGTACTTTTGGTATCGATTTTTTAGCTCGATAGATTTGCCAATATCGATCTTTTACGTCGATAGTACTCAAAAAGAATCGACAGCGTAATCTATGAACCCCACTTATCGACCAACTACGAAAACCAACCATTTTGCCGAATGCAATGAATAGTCTCTCTAGGTGGTCATAATTGTTCAGAGAAGTGTCAAAAAATGATCCCGAAGGGTCATTAGTCTCAGAATTTATTGCTCAAAAACCCAAAATGGATATGACCACACTAATAAATAAAGATGTTTATTTATTACTCTTTTGTAAAATGAAACGCCTTTTTAAAGTACCAAAATGTTTTATAAAAACATATTCAACAATCGAAGTATGATTATTTCAAATAATAATATTCATCAATTTCAATATATTAGTATTTTGCGTAAAAAAGAATCGAAATATAATTATTTCAAATAATAATATTCATCAATTTCAATATATTAGTATTTTGCTTAAAAAAGAATCGAAATATAATTATTTCAAATAATAATATTCATCAATTTCAATATATTAGTATTTTGCGTAAAAAAGAATCGAAATATAATTATTTCAAATAATAATACTCATCGATTTCAATGCGTTATTATTTTTCTTTCTAAAAGTATGTGAATTGTAAGTTGAAGTAAAGTACTTGTAAATTAAAAATTAAATAAACAATTTAAAAAAGAACAGAAGAGCAATATTTTCTTTGCGGTACGTGAATCTTAAAATGTCTCGTTTTCAGTTTGTGCACATTATGAACATATTTTAGGAATCGGATTTCAACTGACCTTTTCTGAATGAATGACAACAAAACTAAAGAATACTTTCTTTAGTATAGTGGGCAAAAAACTTTTAGAAAATAATAAATTAATTGTGGCAATTGTTTGCACTAAAAAATATTAAAAATATGATTGTGCTTAAAAATACTTAAAAAGTATTGCTTTTTGAATATAGTATCAGACTATTATATTGTTTTAATCAAAAATAATCAACTATTATAACTTGTCTTTTTTTTGAAAAATTATAGAATTTGAAATTAGTATTGAAAAATTACTGTTAAAATTTTACAATATTGAAAATGATTCTGATTTAACACATCAGATTACAAGCAATAGAATTCATTCTAATATTGAATTGTGATATAATATTTAATGAGTTTTAGATCTTTCTTGCACTTATGTTTGATTTTTATGAAAAGTACTCAAAATTCGATATTGAGTACTATCGATACTTTCGCCACGATATTTTTTTGGCATCGATATTTTGATTAGATACTTTTCAAAGTACTCAATATCGATCTTTTGCCTCGATACTTCTAACACTAATTATACCCAGGCGGTACACAAGTCTGGGATGTTTAAAAACTTTTCCTTCGCTACACAAAAAAACACACACATTCATTTTTTTAACAATAAGATATGGCAAAGTGTCCAAAACCCTTTGGAATGCAAACATATGCAAAAATTTTTGATTTCGATTTTTTGCGATCACTATAACTACTCTACCAGAAGTTAAAAATAAGTTTGAAATTCTTTAGATATTTCTATTGCTTAAACTTATCATAATGTTTCCTAATGCTACGATATGTTATTGTATCATAACATAATTAGAAAGTATATTAAAAATGAAATTTATGTTTTCATCAAAAAACCCGCCATTCTGAATCAAATGAGACCAAATTTGGAAAAAGTATGTGTGTGTCGATGTGTGTGTGTGTGTATGTGAACTGATTCTTTGCCGTAAATCGACGTTTTCTCAAAAACGGCTAGACCGATTTTAAAAATATAAAAGCCATTTGATGTATCTCGATGAAGACTCGCGTTTATTAATTTTACGCGACGATCAGCCATGCCGTTTTTTTGTAAATCGCAGAAAACTGAAAGATTTTTGGTCCACGTTTTTTTTGTAATAAGGTGTTAATTTTTTTCGACGATTTTTATTATTTTTTTTGACAATAGGTACCATAGTCTTTTAGATCATACTAAAATTCCTTTTAATTTAAAAAACTCTTGAAAGTTTGCAAAAATTAATATCGTTTTTTTAGCATTTGCCAAAATTAGATTTTTCATCGACGTTTTCTCAAAAACGCCTGAACCGATTTCGGAAATTCAAAAGCTATTTGATGAGGACTATCGTTTGTCAGATTTGTGCGATGATCTGCCGAGCCGTTTTTTTGTAATTTGAAAAAAAGTGTTCTATACTACCGAATAGATGTTAAAAAATCAAAAATAGTTCGAAAGATATTAGTTGGGAATGATACTAATTAGTTTTAGGTGAAAATCTACCGAGACGTTTTCTTGTAATTAACTGTTGCAAAAAAATAGGCCGATTTTTGTGGAACTTTTTTTGGCGATATATATCATGGTCTTAAAGAACTTACTAAAATATTACTGCCCTACGACAAGTAGTTTAATTCTAAAAATTCACCAAAGTTTGAGAAAATGAGTAGTTTTTTGACGTTTTTTATAATTAAAATTAGACGATTTATTTGGTATACCGATAGAGTGCTTGGTCTTAATGAACATACTAAACCATTAAAGTCCTATGGAAACTTGTTTAATTATAAAAATTATTGATTTGTGGAAATTTGCTTTCAGAAAATACTCCGGGTTAACGTGTTTGTTCATTTTCAATTATGTGTAATAAATCCACTCGGAATACTTTTAATCAATCATATATTAATTTATTTTTTATTGATTAAGTCGATTATTTAAACATATCGGGAATTTCATGTAACTTGCCTCAAGGCAAAATTCCAATACCAACTAGTTTGACTTATGGCTTGAAACTAATACATATTAATTCAAAATAATGTTGGAATACTTCACTTTTTAGCACAAAAAGCGGTTGTTATTGCCCATCGCTTACTGATCATTGCTGCACCGCAAAAATGTTGAAAATTACTTGAAAAGGACAATTGCCAATAAAATGTTGAAATGTCTACTTCGTTTCCATTCACCATGCGCTCATCTGAAAGATGTTTTATTGTAATAAAATACAATCCAAAATCATTTACAATATTTAAAAATTCAAATGATTGCTTACCACAGGACGCAAGGTAAAACATAGAAAGAATGATTAAGAATAAAATTAGAATTTTCATTTTATATTAACGAGTAGGTATATCTTGTGATCAAATATTAATTAAAACTATAGAATAGCACTTTTCATTAAAATATCTTTTTTAATAAAAAATATCAATATTTAATAACAAACTATAATTTAAAGACCTGTTAATCGAATGATGCTTAGAATAACAATATAATTATTTGATTTCATTTAATCAGCATCATATACTTTAGATTATTATCTATTTATTTTTTATTCATTTGTCCACTTACAATTTATATAATGGTTATATGCGCACATTGATTAACATCTTCTGTGATATTATCTGTTTTTTTAAAGCAAGTCAAAGTATCAAATTACTAAAAAATCTTAAAATAATTTTTCTCTACCTTAAATTAAGCGACCATTTAGTGGTTAATTCAAGCATCCCTCGGTAACTTACAAAAGGAGAAGTTTTTAACAGAAAATTGAAATTAGTAATTTCATGTTTCAAAGTCATTCTGAATCGTTAGGGAATAAAATTGAGAAAGGTAAGGTAAGGGTCAATGTGAGCTGAAGAAATAATTTGTTTTTAATAACCAAATTTTAATTGTTCACCAAATAACAAAAAATCCAGCTCATTTCTCTGTTTTTACTGTATGCGTATATTATAATAGTTTTTTGCGATAAAATCAATTAAAATTAAAAAATCAATAAAGCAAATTTTAAATAGATTTTATGAGTATGAAGACCTATTAACCAATCATTGCTTACGTATGTGATTCAATTAATTTATCTAATCGTAATTTCTAGAATGCAATCCAGAATATCGATAAAAGTTTGATTTATCGCAACAAGGCTTGAAAATAAAACAAAAATGCAACAAATAAATGTTAAAAATTAGAACAAAGTGTCTATAACCATATCTTGAAGATTATGTGATTAATAGTAGACATAAATGTAGGCTTGTTTACTAAAGATTTCACACGGCAAGGACAAAAATTATAAATAGCATACGAACTGTTTAAATAACATTGAAATAA